TGACGGTACCGATGAGAATTGTGATGTGTGTGAGTGTATGCTATGTATATTTATATATGATATCTGTTAATGTAATATATTGTAATTTTTTTTCAATATATTATATCTATTTGTTTATCTCTTATGCTCCCTTTCTTTTTATCGATTGAACGGGGGGATTCATCGTATTTTCTTTGTATATTATCCTTTCCGTTTCCATTCTTTTCAGAGATTCGATCACAAAATAAATCGCAAAATCTGCCATCTGTTTTTTATATATTTATCTTCCTTACTTTTTTTTCTTTTTGGTCATTCTTCTAACCATCTTCCTTCTGTACATTATTGTACCGAGCGTACTCGCAAACGCACACAATCATACATGTGCATGCACACACACGTACACGCTTTCTTCCCATCTTGCATACATATAATACATTCTTTCATTTACACTATCTTTCTTACACTCTTTCGTGCTCTCTCTCTCTTTCTCTCTGTCGCTCTCGCTCTCTCTTACTCTCTCCTAATATTACTGTCTCTCTCCTTACTTCATCTATCTTTTTCGCTCGAAGAAAAGCGAGCAATGAGCGACAAACCATCGCATATGAATGCATACACGACACATATATCCATCTTGAATCAATATGGGAATTCAAAATTCGGCGAATTCCTTGGCGCACTTCTCCGTCAGTGAAATCCTAAGTGTCTCCTCTTCATAATCGTCGAAATTGCTCGTGTCTCCTGGCCCTTTACATTTTGGTATGAATGGGGCCTCGATTTTCTTTTGGAAGACAGCTATCCAATCGGTACTGGCGAACCACTTGTGACCCTTGATATCGTTTACACCAGCCTTCAAATTCCCATACCTTTTGGTAAGATCAACTTGTAGCAAGTTACGTAGTAAGTCTTTCAAATCGGATCCGAAATGAGACGGAAATCGTGGTTTTCCGCTAACAATCTTCTCATAAATTTGAATTGGTTGATCAGCAAAGAACGGTGGATAACCGGCAGCCATCTCATAGACAAGCACACCAAGCGCCCACCAATCTACAGCTTTATTATAACCTTTGCTGAGAATTATTTCAGGCGCGAGATATTCTGGCGTACCGCACAAGGTCCATGTTCTACCCTGTACCCTTTTAGCGAAACCAAAATCTGTGACTTTTAAATAGCCTTGTGAATCGATTAACAGATTTTCTGGCTTGAGGTCCCTATAGATTAAGTCGAGGTAGTGAAGATACTCAAACGCTAATACGATTTGTGCCGCGTAAAAGCGCGAGTGTGGTTCCGAAAAACGACCAACCTTTCGTAGATGGCTGAACATTTCGCCTCCCGGCACATATTCGAGAACCATGTAAAGGTAAGAATTATCCTTGAAGTGAAATCGCAAGGACACCAAAAATGGAAAGCTAATCGCTTGCAATATTCTTTTTTCATTAAGCGTGTGTTCGACTTGCTTAAGTTTCACGACTTTTTGCTTATCGAGTATCTTCATGGCGTAATATTCCCCAGTTGGTTTATGTTGCACTATCATGACACGACCGAACGAGCCAGTACCGAGTGTCTTGATCCGCTCGAAATCATCGAGGCCAGCAGTGTTCGTCGGGTTTCTTTTCCACTTGTCCTCGAACTCTTTCTTTGCCTTGTCAAGAAACTCCTTGACGCTCTCAGCAGCGTCAACCTTTTTGTTTGCAGTCGCGGCATTGTTGCCCATCTTAGCAGCCGCGCTTGTACCCGAGCCTGCCAGGGCTCTATACAGCTCGAGAAGTTCCAGAAGACCGCGTCTTCGTTTTCGTTTTCGTTTGTCCTCTTCCGTAGCTGAGCCTATCAAGGCCCCACCAAACTCCAGTCTTTTCGAAATTGTTATTATTTCCTATGTTTCCCTTTATTATACTCACTCTTATTGTTACCGACGGTCTTCAATAGTCTTTATCCGATACTCGTCAATGCTGGCCCTATGAGACCTATACGTCCGAAAGGGCACTCACACTTATGCAAGAACTGGGCACACGCGCACACTGCACGATGGATACACTCGTACCAATAGCAGACTACCCCTTTCTTTTTTTTTAATTTAATTCACTTAACCGCAATTTTTCACACTCGGTTCGAAACTTAGTAGTTCCTTAATTGTATGACAAAGTAAGACCGAGCGATTTCGCGCGGAAAAATGGGTCAGCATTAATCCTCGTCCGTACCTCGCGCCATCTTTCCTGTCAATCGTACTAGCCCGTCGTTGTCGTCGTCTACTAGAGCTGTCTCAGTCTTTCTTTTCTTATCCTTCTCTCTTTATTTCTACTTTGACTTGTATTCTCATGCACTATAAACGTCTTTCTCCGATGTGTTTGTCTTTCTTTGACAAATCAAAACACTAAACACTAGTTCTCAAAATAGTAGGAACCGAATGACAAAATTGCAGGTCAGAAACAATAGTTTAAACAAGGGTCGATAAAGCGAGAAAACAACGTCGGTTTCGATCGCTCTCAACCCTTGAAATACTTGCGAAACGTCGTCTGCTCAACTTGCACAGTACGCACACACAAATTTTGAACGTATTAAATGAACATCGCGAACGAATGTGTATCGCGTCTTCTCGCGATAGAAAATAAATTACGCGCTATCGCACTAACACACAAAATTCTTTTACTATAATCGCGGATTGATTTTAAGCTCTTAAAACGAAGCAGGCGGCGGTAGCAGAGACAGTCGGTACCGTTCCTAAAGATGGCGACGCGGCTCGCTCCACTTGTTCGTTCGGGATTTCGCACGGATGCGAAAGTGACGAAGTGCCGCTCTACGAAGCAAGAGAGCTACTGTACTGCACAGATCAGCTATTGCTTTGACTTATCGCCGGTAGATGTAGCACTAGAAAATTTAACGATACTCTTGACAGGTGCTGCCACCAAACGAAAGCGTTGACGTACTTTAAATTTAAAGGAACTTCTTTTTCACTTCTAAAATCAAGGTTTTCATTTTGAATCGTGAAATATTTTGTACAATTGTTTATATAAAAATTAAAGTTTCAATTCTTTAAGTTATCAAAAAAGAAATTATGATATACAAATAATTGTGATTACAAATAATTTATTAGATTGAAATTTATTTATTTAACATATTATTAAATAAAACTATACTTAATAATTTGATAAAATAATTAAACAACTTTTAATTTATTGTATTATTTGATTACTTTATGATTATAAAGTAAATTTAAAATTTAGTTAAATCATATGAATATATACATGATAGTTTGTTAATTCAGTCTTTACAAAATTATATAAATTTGTATTATTTTTATAAATATTAAATATTGTTTATATAATATGAATAATAATGAAACCTGCTTTTCTTAACATATAGAATTATTTTATTTCAATAACATTAATAAATTTCTTTTTTCTAATAATTTAAAAAAATTTAAATGTTACATGTGTAAAACTATTTTTACAATATATTTTTTTTTCTAATATTTTATTTGATTAATATATATTATAGTTATTTTAATACAAATCACTATTGTGTTAAGTTTATCATCAATTCGGTAATTTCATTGCTATTAATAATAATCGACCTGTTTTGTGGTATTGAACCGTGGTAGTACGTACACGGAAGGTTGAATACTCGCTGACCTGTGATAATCCTTTGGCGATTAGTTTCTAACTGTAGATAGGCATATAGGCACAATTTTAGAGCGGCAGATACGGTCGAGAAAGCTAGGTGGAGTCGGTGGAGGACGGGACGAACCGGTTACAATCAAGTCAAAAAGGTACGATCAGGTCAGACCTTTTAGATATATACAAAATTTTTGCGTATAATCTTGCTAATACATTGTTAAATTAAATAAAAGTACAACAAAATATATGTCTATTAAAATTGCGCTTACAAATATATTTCTTGTATTAATTTCAATTTATTTCTACCCTATAGGATGCGCGCGACCACGCGTTCTATTGATTCCATGACCTGAAGCTGAAAGTGATGTGCCAATTTGTGGAAGGAAAGTAGCAAAATCAAGATTCAGCTTATACCATCTTTTCTTTTTAAAAATTTCTGTATATAGAATTTCTTGATGAAGTTAAATCACTAATAATAATAAAAGAATGTATTTAATATTAAAAAAATTTATAAATTTTGAAAATTTTATATGTATATACATATATATATATATTGATATATATAACATTAATATAAAAACATGATATAAATTATTATTTTTATACATGTATTTATTGTATATTTATATATGTATTTATATATTTATACATATATTTCTTATAAATTTTTTATTCTTCTATATTTTTTTTTATAATGCGTAAAATTAACGAGACATGTATGATAATCTATATCATAATGCCTAAGAACGCATCAAGAAAAGTGGGAATTTAGTCCAGTGAAATGAAAATTTAGATGCGTGGATGCTATCTTTAGTTTGACACTGCAAAGCCAGTGAAAATATAGGTTACTGTCATCGAAATAGCTTGTGGCTGAAACTTCCACTGACCCACTAAAACGAAATTTAATTTTACCAAGTAATGCTGTATGTCACCAATTACATAGTTATTTCTGATAATAAAATATAATAAAATATCTTTGAATATTAAAAAAGTTCTATATCTATATTAAAGTACATATCAAAATATGTTCATATATAGATATATCTTTTAAATAAATTACTATTAAAAATAATTTCATTATAAATAGATAAATACAATTTTATTTTATGTGTATTTTTATATATGTATTAAAAAAATAAATATTTATTCGCTTCATATCATAAATAGAAATTAAAAAATATTATTGCATATTTCTTTCTTTATGGAAAGTTTCATTGAAAATCTAACTCAATCTAGCATGAATGTATCTTCAAGTGTTTTATTGTATGAAAAATATTCAAAAAGCATCTGCTTCACACATCTTCACCTGCATTGCATTCATAGCAGCTGCTTGGTGTTATCTTCATGCTTACGTAGACTCTGGCACGTGGCATATACGGAAGAGTAAAATATATTTCTTGATAGATTAAATTAATACGTTCGTATAATTTTTGCAAATATGAATATTGATAAATTATTGAATATATATTAATTTGCATAGAATTATAAAAAAATATTTTCCTCAATTTTCAAAATTACATTAAAAATATTAAAGACATTGATAAAATTACAGATAATTAGTAAATTATAGATAGTATTGTTTTATATGAAGTTTCTACAATATCATACAATACATTTTAGAATCATATACTTAATCTACTTTCTTTTTTTCTTATATAAAAAGAAAATAAAATTACATACAAATATTAATATTATATTTATAAGTAATATAATATATATATACATATATATACATATAGTATATATGTATATAATCATATTTATATATGCGTGCACATACATACATAATATATGAAAATTTAAATAATATGTATTACATAAAATTATTGAAAATTAATGTATCTATTGTAAAGATATTTATTACCTCATCGTGAGTTAAGTCTTACTTCTATCTAAATTCTTTGCAAAACTTTTAAGATTAAAATCATAATAAAACACAAAACAAAAAAAATGATTTTACTATTTCATAATAAAGGCAACCTGTAACATGGACGTACATAAATGCAGCAAAGCCTTTCAGACGAGTGCGTGGATCAACCTGAAAGCATCGCGCACCTTTTAATATACACCGGAAATGGAACCATACGCGAAACTTCTAGAACTTTCTGCAGTTTGTTTCCATTTATATCTTGTATATTATCCTTAGTACACATGAAATTTCATTAGAATCTAATCAATGTTATAAATCACACATAAAATTTAATTGTCATTATTTTAAAAACGATATAGTGTTAAATACATGTTTCTCAACAATACATTCACCAGCGCCGGAAGCGCGGGGATTTTTTATGAGTTTCGTAAGACAAGATTCAATTGGTCAGTTGTTATTTGGAGGGGCATTAACAATGCGGTAGTGGCGAAGCTACCATTACTACGAATCTAAAACTACATAACCGTTGACAGCTTTAATTAAATATATTATATTTCACATATATCATACCTTTTTTTTAAAAGAAAATAGAAGTAATAACGATTTTATTTTTATTAGGTATTTATTAAAATTTCAATATATTTTACGAGAAATTTCGTTGAACTATGCTGTATTAATGATTAAAATATAGCGGCAAATTTATATATATATATATATATATATATATATATTGTGAAATT